TTTAAACCCACCGGGCCCAGAACACGACCCGCAGTCGACTACAGGGGAGTCCAGCAACATAGCCATTACACCAACTGTTGGTCCCACTAAAATAATTTTTTAAAAGAATTTTTTTAATTTTTATTTGTTATTTTTAATTTTTTAATAATTATTTATTTATTATCATTATTTTTCTATTTTGATCAGAGAGAGAGCAAGCCACCAGGTCCAGGACTCGAACTGTGGTTGACCATGTAGGAATCCAGCACCTTTAACCACCATGCCACCTGCCGGCCCAATTATTATTATTTTAATTTGCCAGCTCTTAATTTCTGTCTTTTGGTTTTGAATTCCAATGCCTTTTCAAATTCAACACTTGGCACTGTCTCCTCTGTCAGACACGGACTCACAGAGCACCAGTACTGTGGGGCCTATGGAGATCTGAGAACAAATCTCTTTCATGGAAGAGAGAACTGAGGCCTCCAGAGGGAGAAGGATTCCCACAAGTCAGCACAGAGTTGTGATCAGGACCCTGCATCCTGGCTTGGTGCTCTTTTCTCCAACTCTTTCACTTTTGGTCAGGACATACTGGGGACAGAGAAAGGAGGAAACTCCTTCATATACCAACCTGGGAGTTTGGATTTTTCAGGGTCGAACAGGTCGACGAGGCCCATGTCCTGCAGCCGCTCCTTTAAACTGAAGCCATCCTCAATGCGGAAGCGGGGCATGTGGACCACCAGCATCATCTCCGCCAGCTCATCCAGCCACTCCTGCAGCACCTCTGGAGTGAGTTCCTGCTCTACCTTGGCCAGGCTCTTCTCAGGCTTGGGCAGGACAAGCACCATGGTGATGTCATCCCCCTTAAAGGGCAACTCGAGCACCTGGGTGCCTTCGGCCACACGCCGATAGCGGAACTTGCCTTCCTGGTACATCATGGTGGCTGAGCACGACTCCCCATTGGCCTTGTAGAACAGTTCCTCCCTCGTGTTCTCAGGGCTGAACTTCGACTTCCACAGGCCCTGGGAGAAGGTGCCAGATAGGAGAATCACAAAGCAAGAACAATAACACCCCCACAGGACATGTACCAACGCGGGACGTACTCGCATTCACCATTACCTTATTTCGTAAGTCTGATTGTTAGGGAAAGGGACTACAGAGGGATGCAGTAGAATTGTGAGTGGCCTTTTTTTATTTTTTAAATATTTCCCAGATTTTCAGTAGTGACTATTTGCTTTTATAATCAGAAAATAAAATCAAGAACAGCCTACTCTTTGCAAGTTTTTTCTTAAATCTAATTGCTTTTTGCTTTCTGCCTCCTACCAGCCTCTTTTCCAAAGTTCTGGGCTCTGCCCCAATGAATAACAGCTGGACACATAATTCCAGGAGGTCACGTGGAAGCCAACAGGGTAGCAAGTGAGTTCCTGGCTGGCATCCTCTTCAAAGTAGGAGGGGCCCTGAAGTCTAAGATATGCCTTTGAAATGTCTGAGCTGTAATTACCATTCCTTATCACTTCCTATGTCTTTGATTTTGAAACAAGTCGTTTTACTCTTCTGAGTGGTGGTTCTCATTTATAAAACTAGGAACTAGTGATAGCTAACATTTACAGAAACTTACTGTGTGCCAGAAACTGCCCTAAGCATTTTACAAGCATTAAGATAGTCAATCCCCTCAGTAGCCCTATGAGGTCAGTGTATCATTATCATCATTTTATAGATGTAGAAACTGAGGCATAGGAGGGTCTGAGGCTGTCATCTAAGTTCACACACTTAGAATATAAAACTAAGTGGTCTGAGTAGCCCAAGGTCTTTCTTGTGATGTTGCGACTATCACTAGTAAATGGCAAATTGTTCCATGAGCTGTAAAGGGCCATACACATTGTGGAAGTGCAATCCTCTCTGTTCTTAGGAGAGGGAAACCCCAAGAAACAGAGAGGTTGGCAACCAGAGTGACTAGCTACACCTTGGGGCTGTGTGGGAGGAAAAACATGTATGGAGCACATCCAGGATGGGAAAACATGCCGCGGTTCCACTGGCCTTACACTGGTGGTCCTTGCAAGCATTGGTGGCCCCACCACCGTTTTCTATACCCTCTCCCTCCTCCTTCAAAGATAATCAGGTTAGAACAGTCTTCAGCACTCTCAATTCTCTAAGGAAGACAAGGCCCTCTGCATGGTCAAAGAAGGGACCTCTAATACTTCTGAGGTGTACCTGGAGGTTTAGAAACTCCAGGCAAGGGAAACTGAGTAACTATAGGAGCTGCTCCAGGTGATGAGAAAATAACAGTTTGTAGACCTCAAAATGGAGCTAAGTAGACAGCAGAGACTGTTCCATAGATATGCAAGTCGATCATCATGCACATCTTGCAGCGGGCAGGCTGGTGAATGTGTACAGTCAGCACAGGCCTGGGAACGCTGCTAGGTCACCCTGAACCTCAGCCCAGCATCCAGCTCTCAGTAAATGTGTATGTCTTCCCAGACCATGCATGGACCATTTCTCAGAAAGGATATACCTACACACACCCAGTAACATAAAAGAGGGTAAGCTGAGAATCAGAGGGAGTCTCTGGGGTCTTTCCAGGGTCCTCTGGAGTACCTTAAAGTAAATGGTGTTGACCAGCATGAGAACTGTGAGCTCGTCAATGGCCTCTGGGGGAATGACGTCAGTGATACGACCTTCAGTCTTATTGGAGATCCATTTGTTGATGATGGCTCTGGACTGCTCTGCATTTCCCTGAGGAGAACAGCAAACAAACCTACCCACCTGAACCAATCGTTTGGCTTCACCATTTCTCCATGAAGCATTTTATTTTGTTCCTCATCCCTCTGCCTTTTCCATTATTTGGTTAAGAAGCTCCTACTCTTGGGACCAGCAGATGGCATAAAGGTTACCTCACTAGACTTCTACATGGCCGACTGCTGCTTGAGTCCCCAACCTGGCAGCTTCAAACTCACTCTGGGTGCATGTGCATGCTTGCCCAAAATCTCGAGAGGAGAATGGAAGAGAAGAGATTGCAGCGTGGGTGATTTTTTTGCTTCCTGTCACTCTCACCGGCGAGTGCATGTACCCTATAGCAAAAATCTCAAAAAAAAAAAAAAAAAAGTACAAACTCCAACTCTAACCCAGATGGGTAAAGTCCACACATCCAGTACAGTGCCACTAGTCTTTCATCTAGTTTATAAATGTTATCAGGGCTGGCAGGTGGCATGGTGGTTTAGGGTGCTGGACTCCCACCTGGCCAACCGCAGTTTGAGTCAGGGACCTGTTTGCTTGCTTTCTCACTTTCCCTCTCTCTCTCTCTCTCTCTCTCACTCTGACTCTATCTGGTCAAATTTTTAAAAATAAAATGAAAAAATAAATTTAAAAATAATTCTTAGAAATAAATAAATAAATGTTATCACAAGAGAAAGAACAAGAAAAGAAACAGGACCAGCAGATGGGAGACCAGCAGATGGGAGACCAGCAGATGGCATAGCAGTTAAGTCGCTGGACTCCCACATATTCAACTGTGGTTCAAGTCCTGGACCCAGTGGCTTGAAAATCACGCCAGGCACATGTGCATGTGTGCCTAGTATCCCAGGAGGGACCAGCAGAGGGCATAATGGTTACATCACTGGACTCCCACATAGTCGACCATAGTTCAAGTCCCAGACCTGGTGACTCCAAACACACTGGGCACATGTGCATGCTTATCCAAGATCCTGAGAAGAGAATGTAGGAGAAAGGATTGTGTTATGGCCAATCCCCCTAGGGGGTGATTTCTCACTTTCTGTCTGTCTCTCTGACAAGTACACATGCCCGATAGCATAAATCTTTCTTTTGTTTTCAGAATTATTTAATTTATTTATTTACTTATTTATACTTGTTTATTTATTTTGATTGACCAAAGAGGGACAGAATGAGAGAGACAAAAAGAGAAAGTGAGAAAGCAAGCCACAAGGTCTGGTGAAAGTAAACCACTGTCAGCCATGTGGGGTCTAGCGTCCTTAACCACTGAGCCATCTGCCAGGACCCAAAATCTCTCTTAAGTTAAAAAAAATACGGGGAGGAGAATGGAGGAGAAGGGATTTCAGTGTGGCCATCCCCCCGGGGGAGTGATTTCCACCTTTCTCTCACACTGTGTCTGTCTCTCTCTCTCTGGTGAGCACATGTGTCCTCTACAAGCCTCTTTAAAAAAGGGGGGGAGGAGGGGAAGAAAGCAAAAGACAGGAAGGAGAAAATAGTCTGAGAAAGAGAAAATAAAATATTACATTCTCTGGCTTTGGGAAACCTGAACTCACAAAAATAGTTTCCAAAACAAGTTCTATGGGAAGCTATGAGTAATGGTGGGGGCTTGGAGACTGGAGGGGTAAGGAAATCTCTATGTGGTCAATAAATTTGAGATATGCTGATTGAATAAAACCAACACCACCTGCTGGCATGGTGGTTAAGGCACTGAATCCCACATGGCCGACTCGGCAGTTTGAGTCCTAGATTCAGTGGCTTGAAAAACACTTTGGGGCTTTTAGCTGGAACTGCCATCTTCCAGTAATTAACCAAGATGACGAACACAAAGGGAAACAGTACATGTTCCCTAGGCCTTTTAGAAAACATGGAGTGGTTCCTTTGGCAACATATATGCGAATCTACAAGAAAAGTGTTATTGTAGACATTAAGGGAATGGGTACTGTTCAAAAAGGAATGCCCCAGGAATGTTACCATGGCAAAACTGGAAGAGTCTACAATGTTACCCAGCATGCTGTTGGCATTGTTGTGAACAAGTTAAGGGCAAGATTTTTGCCAAGAGAATTAATGTGCATATTGAGCATACTACCCATTCTAAGAGCAGAGATAGCTTCCTAAAATGTGTGAAGGGAAATGACCAGAAAAAGAAGGAAGCCAAAGAGAAAGGTACCTGGGTTCAACTGAAGCACCAGCCTGCTCCACCCAGAGAAGCACACTTTGTGAGAACCAATGAAAAGGAGCCTGAGCTACTGGAACCTATTTCCTATGAATTCATGGTATGATGGGTGTTAAAAATAAACTAATCTGTGGTCTATAAAAAACAAACAAACAAAAAAACACTTTGGGTACATGTGCAAGCTAGCCCAAAATTCCAAGAGGAGAATGGAGAAGAAGGGACTGCAGCATGGCCATCCCCATGGGGGGGTAATTTCTTCTTTTCTTTCTTTAATAATTATTTTATCTTATTTATTGTTATTATTTTTTAATTTGACCAGAGAGAGACAGAGAGGGAAAGTGTAAAAGCAAGCTGCCATGTTTGGGACGCAGACCACGGTTGGCCATGTGGGAGTTCAGCGCCTTAACCACCACGCAACCTGCCGGCCCCCCAGGGGGTAATTTCTCACTTTCCCTTTCTCTCTGTCTCTTCATCAAGTGCACATGCCCTGTGGCAAAAGTTTGAAAGAAAATAAAATAGATTTCTTTGTTACAGAATTTCTTGGAATACTTAACAGGCTCATGTGCTCATGAATCTCTAAGAAGAGAATATAACATCATATACCAGTTTTATTTGACAATGGGAGCCATTTCAATTAAATAACATGTTTCGGGACCAGCAGTTGGCATAATGGATATGTCGCTGGACTCCCATGTAGTCGACCGTGGTTCGAGTCCCGGACCCGGTGGCTTAAACTCACGCTGGATACGTGTGCGTACACGCCCAAGATCCCGAGAAGAGAATGGAGGAGAAGGGATTGCAGCATGGCCAACCCCCTGGGGGATGATTTCTTGCTTTCTGTCTCTCTCTCTGTCTGTCAGGTGAACGCATGTGCCTTATAGCCAAAACCGCTCAAAAAAAAAAAAAAAGTCTTGTAGGACTGGTATCACCAGAATACCCTTTGAACTTGATGGAAAATATGAAGAATTTATATTTTTAAAAAGAATTATTTAAGTTTGGGACCAGCAGTTAGTGTAATAGCTATGTCGCTGGACTCCCATGTAGTTGACCACAGTTT